AGAGAGAGAGAGAGAGAGAGAGAGAGAGAGAGAGAGAGAGAGAGAGAGAGAGAGAGAGAGAGAGATATGTTTTGCAATCTCCGCTTCCTCGCTCCATTTCCTCTCCATGGGCAAAGCGATGGTGGGCGATAACTTGTTTTCTTCATACGGCATCAAGAAATCAGAAACAAAACTGTGATTTTATCAATTACCATCTTGGGAGAATTCCATTATCAGAAGCTAGATTACATACAAGTCTTCTAGCCAGCAGAAACCTGCAACCTCGACGAGATGACACTCAATGATGGAAAATGCCAGTCTTCTGAAAACTCATCTCACACAAATACCCGCTGGACCGCCAATCAATACTCTTTCCCGCAGGAAAAGAAACATTAACAACAAGGGGGGAAAAGAAAAAGAAAAAGAAAAGCCGCAACAACCAGCACTTCAGAACTCTTCCTGTGCCCTAATGAATGTGGGTCAGCAGCGGTCACACACTGCATGAGCTGGTCCTTAACAATATGAGCCGTGGAGGTGGCCCTCCATGATCACAGCCCGGACCAGGTTCAAAATGCTGGTCCTTCATATTCACTGTAATATGGACCAGGTTCAATATGTTGGTGAAGTGTGGTACCTGCTGAGTTCCACTGTACGCGTGGGACCAGTCAACCTTCCCACACTGGCAGCCGAGCATTACTTACGGGGAAATAAAATTCCTATATAGAAGGGCGAAAAAAAAAATCCTAACGTATGCAACGCCTGCTTTTCACTCTCTTCCTATTCTTGGAAAGTTCCTATCCTCATCGCCTAGCCTGCCTGTAACTCTAATAGCATACAGACACTTGGACTTTCCCGGATGAATTTAGCTAGAATATCGGTCAGATTCGGTTCGAGAAGTCCTAGTGTGGTGTGCATAACCCATGTTCCCCCTGCCTGTAACTCTAACAGCATACAGAACAGACACTTGGACTTTCCCCGATGAATTTAGTCGGACACTTGGACTTTCCCAGATGAATTTAGCTAGAATATCGGTCAGATTCGGTTCGAGAAGTCCTAGTGTGGTGGGCATAACCCATGTCCCCCCTGCCTGTAACTCTAATAGCATACAGACACTCGGACTTTTCCTGACGAATTTAGCCGGAATAACGCCCAGCTTCAGGTCGAGAAGTCCTAGTGTGGTGGTGGTCATAAGACGCATAACCCATGTCCCTGAAGCTAAACGCACAACACAGAGGGCGGTATTGGTACTATTGGCACGAGGTTCAAACCACATTGGGCCTCCAACCTTTTTCCAGCTAAACTTATCTACCACCCAAAAAAAAAGTGTCCAAAAAAAAGAAGAAAAAAGAGGGCGAAAAAGAAGAAGATTGCATAGCTCACAGATCTTGTCCTCTCCTCTGACCTTGGTTGACCATCCTATGGCCAGCTCGGTGCCGCCGGTGCTCGTCAATCTTTCGTTTCTTACGCTCCTGCTTTTTCACGCCCAGCTTGATCTTCCGCCTGGCTGCCGCTTCTGGCGCGACTAGTTTTTCGATAGCTTGTACTTGTTTGCGCTTATCCCTCCGAACTTTCACCGACTGCCTAACACTGTTGTAGATGGTGACAAATTCACTCACCCCTACCACGCTCCTTATGTGCCCGAGCACCTCTTCTGCCAACTCCTTCATCTCATCTGCAGTCAAACAGAAAAGCGAAAGTTGTTACAACCATCTCAGCGATGTGGTATTTCCACGAAAGCAAACAAGTGTGTCCCTCATGCAAATGCAGAAATCATGCTCTTCACCAGGGGCCTTTAGTCGCACCAGGACCTTTTCGGCTGACTCTAGCCGCAATTGAGATTGTTTACATGAAGAAGTGTGTGTGAGCATGCCCTAAAGAATTGAGAGCAAATACGAAAATCGCGTTCGTCAGTCAATTACGGACCGTGCTCGCCCGTAGGACCAAGGCCTTTTCGGCTGAATCTAGCCTGAGAATGCCTTGAGACTTCTGCCGGATGTAAGATAAAGACTAGTTTCTCAGACTTGCTGCCATTTTTCTAAGGATTTGTAATTTTGTACCTACAGTCCGCTAGGATCTACCAGTTTTCTCAGGGGTATCACTAACTGCGGGTGATGTTGTGAGTCTGTGTCCATCAGTCAAATGCATACTGGGCAGACTGTTGGCGTTCAACCTCCTGATGGGGTCATACAGACACACACACACAAAGACAAGTGGGGCTCATGGCTGTGACGGACTAGTTTCTCAGACTTACTGCCGTTTTTCTCAGGATTAGTACCTAGAGTCTGCTAGGATTGCAGGGTCGGTGTGAGTAAAGTCCACCAGTTTTCTTAGGGGTATCACTAACTGCAGGTGATGTTGCGAGTCTGTGTCCATCAGTCAAATGCATACTGGGCAGACTGTTGGGGTTCAACCTCCGCATGGGTCGGCAAAAGTCCACTGAAATTGTCTTAGCACAATCATGTTTTTCTTGTGGAGTTGTGTACAGCGAACATGACCACACACACACAGACACACAGACGAACACACACACACACACACACACACACACACACACCTGTCTCTTATACACATCTAGATGCACTGGGTGGGTCACACCCACACACACACAATCGTACGTGTATATTTTCTTTGTGGGTCACACACCCACACACACTAAATTGAAGGCTTTGCCATCGTCGCAATTTCTTGGTCTATCGGTTTGAGTGTTTCATTGGCCTGAGATCTGCATGCATCTGTGTACATTTGAGGCG